TCTAATAAGTGCCCCAAAGAAGATTTACTTTTTCAAAGGCAGAAGAGCCACAACTAAAAAGTTTCAACCTAACCAGGCTCTGGGGCTCCAGCAATGCTACTATGAATGTATGTATGCCCTATCAGTGTCTACCACTGTAGACTCGTGCAACCTCTAGTACACGCACTTGGTAAAATCTTTTGTTTAAATCAACACATGGTGGCCCCAGTTACAGTAGTCACCTTCTACTTTATCAAATATATCTAAAAATATATTGTCACACACAGATCAGTTACAGTACCAGTAAGAGAGATCATAGTTATAGTTACAATTCCAGTTAAAAAAGCATACTTTTTTTTTAACCTTGATATTTTGACTTCAAGACTTAAAATTCAAATCATTAAAATTAAATCAAAAATGAAACAAAAAACTAATGGCTCAACTTACTTAATATACAACTAATTCAGCCAACCATAGTATAACCTATGAGAATCCTAACACGTTATCTGTATTTACCTTAATAAACTTATTAGATATATATAACATCTCAACCAATATCCAGACTGTTTTTAAAGAATAAAGTGGTATAGTTTCCTCTTGAAAAGAAATATTCTCTGCAGGAGAGGAAAGATACTTAGGAGCCTTGGGTGTCAGGAATCTCACAAAGTCAATGTTGACTTTATCCATAACCACCATTATCTACCTCTGGTTAGGAGAAACCTGGGGAAGCCCACACAAAGCACAGAATCGGAAGGACTAAAGTAGACTGCAGAGAGAGGAGGATAAAACACCACCTTCATTTGGCACATCCTTTTATACTGAGTATCAACTATAAATCTAAATTTTTTGACAATTTCAGCATATACGTGGGCTTTTCAAATAAGAATTTGACTAACACCAACAGTTAGCTGTATACACTTGAAATCTCTCTCTGTAGCTTGATTTTCCTCCCTGAAAAATAAAGGCAATGATAAAATAGTCCCTTCTTTCTGGCCCCAAAACTCAATGATAGTTTCTAGAACAAAGGTTCCCAAACGTTCTACGTTCACAGCACCCTCAGTATCTCAGCAATTTTCTCTCAGCAGCCCTGGGCCAGAAATAATAACACTTCCACTTATTAAGCAGTCAGTAGCCACGTGAAAAAACAACCTAGCTACATTTCAACAAATAATGTTTTTACTTCATTCTTAACCATAATTACTTGTGAAATGTGTATTACTGTTGGGCACTGCACAACTTTTCAAACCTTGGAATCAGAGTGGGCCCTGCTATCCTCTTTCCTGCTGCATACAGATTTTTTTGTGCATTTTACCACAGCAACCACTAAAAAGCCAGCTTCACAAAGACATATCATCTATAGAAATGTAGCACAATCTTGAAATCATGAACTATGTCAAGGCAGTAGTTCGCCTGGCAACCAGCAAATTTCGACTACCACTGTATCCTACTTGAAAATTTAAACTATCAGATGGAGTTGGCAACAATGCTCTAGGGTGCCTTGGTGCAGTTTGGAAACCATGATCCTATGGCAAGGTATATAATTTTGTGGCTTTGGACTCATACTTGGGTTGGAAATAATATTTCACCCTTAACTATATAATCTTGGGCACCTTAATCTATTGAGCCTTACTTAGTTTCTATGCCTGCCAAATAGGAATAATACTATCAACTTCAGAGAACAGTAGCAAGAATTCATGTCTTTTAACTCTTGTACACCACAACTGTTTCCCAAAAAGACTCAGTTCAAATCTTGTTGGCTGAGCCACTATCGTCTTATCAGCTATTTGAAACAGGCAGAAAGTCTGTAATAGCTGATAAAACGATAGTGGTTCACCCAACAAGCTAACTTTGATGATGATATCATGGTTCATCATCAAAGTTCTGAAAATCTTTTCCCTGCACAGTAACAGCATTTCACCTGCAGAGACTTCTCATTTGCCAGGTGTTCTGAACTGTGTAACATTAATTAATAATTATTCTAAGATCACCTTATGACAGGATCTATTATCAGTCCCCTTAGCAACTCTATACCAACGGTAATGCAGTGGTTGAAATAAATGACCCTCCTTAGCCCAGGTTACCTGTCATTTTTACTTACTTAGTGGTCCACTATTCAATTCAACTGACTCTAATATTTTATTCCTCTGATATTAATATAAACTAAATGCAGTGGTCAAAATACCTAAAAGAAATGGAGATGCAAGAAATCTCATATACTACCCAAAATACCACACCACCCCAGAAAACCTGCATTTCAACTTGGTCCAAGGGAATCAACAAAACAATTTACTAGCCATCCTTTCCCCACACGCCCACAGTTCGTTCTCTGAGAGATACATTACTATCACTTCCCAAGGCATCCTAAAAGCAACTTACTAAGGCATTCTACTTCACAATGACTACTTTCTTAAAAATTAAAAAAGAGGCCAGGTGTGGTGGCTCACGCCTGTAAAGCACTTTAGGAGGCCAAGGTGTGTGGATCACGAGGTCAGGAGTTCAAGATCAGCCTGGCAAACATGGTGAAATCCCGTCTCTACTAAAAATATAAAAATGAGCTGGGTGTGGTGGTGCACGCCTGTAATCCCAGTCACTCTGGAGGCTGGGGCAGGAGAATCGCTTGAACCTGGGAGGCAGAGGTAGCAGTGAGCCAAGATCCTGCCAATGCACTCCGGCCTGGGCAACACAGTGAGGCTCCGTCTCAAAAAACAAATAAATAAAAATAAGAAAAGGAAGACAGATACAATTTGATAATGAAATTACCACAATGGGGCTTAATTTTTAAAGAAATTCTGCGGGAAGCCTTTATATAATGTCACCCTCCTATTTTGTACTATTTTTTAAAAATAAGCTTTTTGTAAGTCAGTTTGTTATGGGTAGAGGGGATGTGGACAGGTAAGAAGAGATTAATAGGCCTGTATAATAGGCCTTACAACTGTTGTATTAATCTGAATCTTCGGTAGCTATAACATCATACAGATTCTTTATAGGTAATATTCTGAAGAACTTTATACTTGGCACTTCCTAGCAATGCAAATAAATTCAGTTAACAGAAACTTCTACATTTACATAGAGAATAGAAGAGCGATCCTGCTTTCTTGGAAAGGAAACAGCTATCTGTCTTGTACAATACCCAGTCCACTTTGGCCAGCTAATATGGACAAAAAAGAGATCTATTTGGAAAACGTTTCTTCTCCAGCCAAGGGCTGTTTCCAGATAAAGGCAATGCTCAGAGTATAACAAAAAAGCCTTCTCTGAGGAAAGAAAAGTGCCAGAAAAGGAGAGGCAGGGATCGGGAATAAATGGGGATGAGTATAAGCACTCAGTGTGAAGGCTGGAGGCAGCAGGCACAGCGCTGAGATGCTCCAGCAAAAGAACCAGCAGCAGCAGCAGGAAGTTTCAATGGGGCCGGGCAGAGCATGCGCCCTGCACCCGCGCGGTGGCCTTATGTGGAAGGAGCACCACTTGCGAACACCAATAATAGACCAGCGGCACCAGAGAGAGAAACATGAGCAACAAGCACCTTCTTCAACTGTTTCCCCCTCCGTCAGAGCCCCTCCTCCAGCCTACATACTAACCACCCCACCCTACCGTGCAAATGGGAGGGAGACGACTTCTTCGCCTAAGCCCGGCTGCCAAGACGAAGGGGGAAGGGATTGGAAAAGTGGGGAGATGCTAGTCTATTATTTTGGGGGAGGTGGGGAGAGGAAGGAGAAGAACTATGGAGGAGGAATTAACCCTCTCCTCTCCAAAGTGGAGCTGAACCGACTTCGCCCCCCTACCGAGAATGGAGAAGAACCCCCTCCTGTGGGGGAGGAGCAGACCTCCCCACTCCGAGGAAGGAGTTTTAGGGGTTAAACCAGCCCTCGAGGGGAAGGGAAAAGGGACAAATCTGTCGGGGGAGTTCCCAACAGAGGGAGGGAGAGTTGAGTATCCGCTGGCCCCCGCCCACCCAGGTGAAGGGAGATAAGGAGGTGTCCGGAGCAGCCGAGCCCAGCCTTCCCCGAGATGGTCGGGAAGACTGGTGGGAGGAGGGGAGGGAGTAAGGGTGGGGAGGAGGAGAAAAGCGCAAAGCTGGCCGGAACCTGCGCTCCCCTTCCCCCGCCGCCAAGGGGGAGACGGGGTGGGGGGCCGCCCTCCGCCGCGAAGCAGCAGTCCCTGGGGTTGCCGACCGACACAATGACCCCTCCCTGCCTGCAGCCCACACCTAGCCCGCAACGCCCCCACCTCAGCTCCCCGCCCGGCCGAGTGGCCCTAGGGGGCCTCCGCCCCGCCTCCCCACTGCCCAAGACCCCGGGGGCTGGGCGGAGAAGACCAGCCCGGCGGAGTTGCGTCCCAGGGGGAGGACAGAGTCGCGGAGGCCCAAGCCGCGAAGAACTGGAGCGTCTGTGAGGAGCAGAGAACAGGAGCGCGCCAGGGCCGCTTCCCGCCGGGCGTTCGGGCCCCTCGCTTACCTTCTCCGTTGCCGACGTCCGGCGGCGGCGCCTGCAGCACCCGCTCCAGCTCAGGGAACGGCAACTCAGGCAGGTCTAGCAGCGGCCCGTAGCGCTCCAAGAAGGAGCAGACTACGGCGAAGTTGGGGCACGAACCCGGGCAGCCTGGAGGAGCCATCACCACCGCCGCTGCCGCCGCCGTCGCCATTTTGAACTGGAGGATGGAGGAGGAGGCGATGGGGGGGCGGGGGAAGTTGGGGTGCCGAGGGATGGCAGGACAGCCTTACGGACGACAGGAGGCGCTCTCAAGTGGGCTCCTCTGCGGATCCCAGCGTCTCAGGGACGGCTCTGCGATCCCACAATACATCGGCGGCCCGGAGCAGTCGAGAACCGAGTCAGACGGGAGACAGAGAGGCCCTCTGCGCCTTTCACTTTCCGCCCTCTTTCCGCCCCCTTCTCTCCTCCCCTTCGGGCTTGCCACTGCCTCGTGTGACAGGGGGAATGAAAACAAGGGAAGCGGGACGGGGAGGCGGGCTGGAAGCGGGAGGGGCGGGACTTCTCGAGAACAATGGCCAATGGAGGCAGAGGGGGCGGGGCTTCGGGCGCTGATCAACTGCAAGGCGTATTACCCGAGGGCCGTTGGGGAGCGCAGATCCCGGAGCAGCGCTGGTTGGCAACCTAAGTGCGGGGAGAGCACTGCGCCCTTTGGGAACGCAACTTTGAGGAGACAGTGCGGTGGGTGAGTTTTCGGGGGAATCCTGAAACTGGGCCACGAGAGGGTGGTGAGGTTGAGGAGAATTAATAAACAGAAAAAGAGAATAGGGCGGGGGAAAGCCCAGTTGTGGGAGAAGGTTGGGAAGGGGAAAGGTAGAGAGGTACCCTTAATTAGGAGCTGGGCTGGGACTTCTGTAAGACGTCTCTGTGAAAGTTTGCCGAGGGGGTATTGCTCTCTGCTGAGGTACAGGAATCGCAGCTTTGCTGGAAAAGCAGGATCTGAGGGAACGGAACTCTGGGGGAATCGTCGGAGTGAGGAGTTGGGGCCCTGCTGGAAGAAGAGGGTCTGAGGAGACCAGGCTCTGCTAGGGGACTATGGTGTGAGGGGAAGGGGCTCTGTTCAGGGACCAGAGTCGGAGTGTGGGCTGGGACTCCACTGAGAGGCCGAACATGACAGGAGACGGTGGAACAGCAAAAAGTTTGTTAGAAGACAGGGTTCCACTTCGGGGCGGGGCGGGGTGGGGGGACAGTGAACATTCCCACAAAGAACCCCAGAGAGAAACTACCAATAATGTAAAATAGAATGTGCAGCCTGAGAAGCAGGTTGTGCTTAGAAGCCTGAGCTTTGGATTCAGCCAGGCTTGAGTCCTAGCGGGACCACTTCATGACATTGTGGAAGTTTCTTCATTTCTTTAAACTCCTTAAAGTGGGGTGATACTAGTACCTACATCATACGGTATTACTAGATAAATCACAGAAAAGTGATTAGCACAGTGCCTTAGCACATAGTGAGTACTTTAAAAATATTAGTTATCAAAAAAGGAGTTCCTATAATTGAGACTGAATTCCGCTATATTTATTTAGTGTACAATTTATTACTTTGAGAATTTTCTGAGTGCATTTAAAACTTACGTAGTACCTAATTCCTAAAAAGAATTTGGCCCGGCGCGGTGGCTCATGCCTGTAATCCCAGCACTTTGGGAGGCCGAGGTGGGTGCATCACCTGAGCTCAACAGTTCCAGACCAGCCCGGGCCACATGGTGAAACCCCGTCTCTAGTAAAAATACAAAAATTAGCCAGAAATGCTTGGGAGGCTGATGCAGGAGAATCCCTTGAACCCGGGAGGCGAAGGTTACAGTGAGCAGAGGTCGCGCCACTGCACTCCAGCCTGGGCGACAGAGCAAGACTCCCATCTCAAATAAAAAAAAAAAGAATTTGAAGCAAGGTACAACACAAACCCTGTAAAAAAGAGAAATCTATAATTAAAGAAAGATAAGAAATAGAGGGGCAAATAATTATATGAGTAACAGGAAAAATAGTGACACAAACACTGAACTTTGTTCTTCATTTCCAGGTTTTAAAAAGGGGAAAAACCATAACGGTGTATATTATTCCCATTATCTAAAGAAAGAATGCTCAATTTATCAAGAGAAAAATTCTATGTTGTAAGAATAATTTATTACCTTGAATAGTGATTCGTAGTCTTGAGTAGTATACAAACCCTTTTTAAAGGAAAAAGGTTCTTTTGAAACTTGACAAATACTTTTGAAAATTTCACTGTAAAAAATACTGATGTAAGAAATGAAAGTCTAAAGAACACTGTAAATGTACTTAATGCCACTGAAGAATACACTTAAAAGTGGTTAAAATGGCGTATTTTGTTACATGTATTTTACCACAATAAAAAAGTTTTTAAGAAATTAAAATCTTACTTCAGGAAAATATCTTTATGGTTATGAATTATCACTGCCAAAGAAGTTTTAGTTTAATGAGTGGGAAAATATTGTTTTTAAGCAATTACTGAAATGAAACACTAAATTAAAACATTTTTATAGAACTCCCAAACTGTCAAGTATATATCTCTTGACCCTGAGGACCTGAAGACTCCAGTTTAAGAGTAATCTGGGCAAGGTGGGGTGGCTCACGCCTGTAATCCAAGCACTCTGGGAGGCCTAGCAGGCGTATCCCTTGAGCCAAGAAGTTGGAGACCAGCCTGGGCAAGGTAGTGAAACTTCATCTGTAATCCAATGTAGGGGCAGTAGTTGCCACTGCACTCCAGCCTGGGCGACAGAACTAGACCCTGTCTCAGGAAAAAAAAAAAAAAAAAAAAGGAGTAATCCGACCCAGAATACAGTTTTTACAGTTTGTGGAAACATACAAAGACTTTCATATACTGGTTACTTAACTGACCTTAAATAAAAGCTAGGTACAGGTTATTTTAAAATAAAATTATATCTTTGTGAAGGAATATCTATGGAAAGAACCTTCAAACCTAAAAGGAAGATTAATTATGTGAACCTTGCCTGTACTTTCTATCTTTGCTTCCAGCTTTTGCAGTACTCCACTTCCCACATTCCAGTGAGGTTGTGAAATAACATTCTAAAAAAGAAATAAAGCTTTATTACTATAGTTTTCTTTTCTCACTGCTCACACTGTTAGTCAGAGACTGATAAATAAGGTTAGAGTTTCTACCTTTTCTAATCTAGATGGGCACGGAAACAGAGTCCTTTGGCATCAGAAAGTTACATCCACCCAAAGATATGAAGTGTTTTACTACAAAACAAGGTTTAAGTCATGCCTTCCTTCACTGAAGTCTGTTCTTGAAAATAAATGACACCCATAATGCTGTCATCACTTCTTGCCTTCCTGGGCTAAGAGAAATTGTGGAACACAGAGCTTAACCACAATTTATGTAATTATGTAAATGAGTTATATTTATCTGACTGAAATGTAAAGGTGCAAAAAAGAGTAGCTATTTTTAAAACCTGTGTTTGATTTATTGCTACTGCCATGAAGAGGCCTTTAAATAAGCATTAAGTTACACTTGGTTCCATCTTGTTTATGAATAAGAAATTTCTTAAGGTATTTCAAATTTCATGTCCTATTGGGGGAAATATTTTGCTCAATAAGAATGAATGGCTAGTTTATTAAAAATAACAAAAAGTCAAAAACAACCCAAATATTCATCAACAAAAATATAAATTGTGATAGACTACTCAAGAGTGAGAAAGGAAAACTATATAAATAAACACACTGTTGATACACACTACAGCCTGGTTGAATCTTAAAAACATGTTGAGTGAAAGAAGGCAGACACAAAAGAGTTAAGTACTGTACAATTCCATCAATATGAAGGTCAAAACTAATCTGTGGCAATAGAAATCAAAGTAGTTGTTTCCTTTGAGCTTAGTAGGGTATTGACTAGAAAGGGACACAAGGGGACTTTGTAGATAGTTTCTATATCTTTATTGGCAAGTTTATTTCTCAAAATTCATTGAACTCTATAAACACTGCATTCAACTAAATGCAATGCAATTATGCTTCAATTTTAAAAGTTAATGGTTTATTCCTATATAATCCCAATTAGCACTGGTACCAGTCTGCCTTTTATCAAAATTTACACACATTTTTGTCTCTTTCATATGTTATCTTTGCATTTGTTACACAGTTTTTTGTTTTGTTTTGTTTTGTTTTTTTTTTGAGAGAGTCTCGCTCTATCGCTCCCAGGCTAGAGTGTAGTGGCGCACTCTCGGCTCACTGCAAGCTCCGATTCCCAGGTTCACGCCATTCTACTGCCTCAGCCTCCCGAGTAGCTGGGACTACCGGCGTCTGCCACCATGCCCAGCTAGTTTTTTTTTGTATTTTTAGTAGAGACGGGGTTTCACCGTGTTAGCCAGGATGGTCTCGATCTCCTGACCTCATGATCCACCCTCCTCAGCCTCCCAAAGTGCTGGGATTACAGGTGTGAGCCACTACGCCTGGCTGCCTTATTTTTTTTTTTTTTTTTTTTTTTTTTAGTGAATATTATAAGCTCACTAGATGTATATTGAGGCAAACTGAATTCCATTTTAGAGCCAATTTGGGGATTTCCTAATCAAGGATGAGCAAATTAGGTATATTTAAAACTCACTTTAAAAAAGCTAAAATAAGCTGGGCACGGCGGCTCACGCCTGTAATCCCAACACTTTGCGAGGCCCAGGCAGGTGGATCACGAGGTCAGGAGATTGAGACCATCCTGGCCAACATGGTGAAACCCCGTCTCTACTAAAATACAAAAAATTAGCCAGGTGTGGTGGTAGGTGCCTGTAGTCCCAGCTACTTGGGAGGCTGAGGCAGGGGAATCGCTTGAACGTGGGAGGCAGAGGTTGCAGAGAGCTGAGATCGCGCCAGTGCACTCCAGCCTGGCGACGGAGACTCCGTCTCAAAAAAAAAAACAAAAAAAAAACAAAACAAAAAAACAGCTAAAGGTTTTTAGCTTCATGTACCTTCAGCTCAAAAAAGCTGAGGTAGGGCCGGGCGCGGTGGCTCAAGCCTGTAATCCCAGCACTTTGGGAGGCCGAGACGGGCGGATCACAAGGTCAGGAGTTGGAGACCATTCTGGCTAACACGGTGAAACCCCGTCTCTACTAAAAAAATACAAAAAACTAGCCGGGCGAGGTGGTGGGCGCCTGTAGTCCCAGCTACTCGGGAGGCTGAGGCAGGAGAATGGCGTAAACCCGGGAGGCGGAGCTTGCAGTGAGCTGAGATCCGCCACTGCACTCCAGCCTGGGCGGCAGAGCAAGACTCCGTCTTAAAAAAGAAAAAAAAAAAAAAATGATTAGTTTCTCTGATGGAATAAAGATTTTTACTGAAAAGAAAAATGAGTTGGGGGCCAAGTACAGTGGCTCATGCCTGTAATCCCAGCACTCTGAGAGGCCAAGGTGGAAGTTCAAGACCAGCCTGGTCAACATGGTGAAACCTCATCTCTACTAAAAATGCAAAAATTAGGTGGGCATGGTGGTGCATGCCTGTAGTCCCAGCTACTCGGGAGGCTGAAGCAGGAGAGTCACTTGAACCCAGGAGGCAGAGGTTGCAGTGAGCCAAGATCACGCCATTGCACTCTGGTCTGGGTGACAGAGTGAGACATCATCTCAAAAAAAAAAAAAAAAAAAAAAAGATGGGGGACAGCCTGTGTTACTATGTTTTATGTCTTATAGCTATGTGTCTACATTTAAAATTTTTATTATTAAATATTTCAGAACAGGG